AACAACATTTCTAGACTCACATAAATAATCAAAAAGTAACTTAGTCATTAAGATTAGAGAGATCACCACTGGATAAATAAACGATAGTTATCAAGTATGAAAGAGTAAAAAACAGAAAAAAGTGCACGTCCACAGTTTCCCGGACTCTAAAAAAAGAGGCACGGTCACCGGGGAACTTTCAGTCGCAGGAACAACAACGTAGCGGGTGGCATCCGCGTACAACCTCATGTTTTTTGTTCCGAACAGCCCCCATTCTTGTTTTCCCCCACCACACCCTCTCACCGGGCACGAACAGCCAGACAAAAAACCTAATTTTGCTAACCTCATGTTTCGGGCACGAACAGCCAACAAAAACAAGTCTAGTTTTGTTAACCTCATGTTTCTTGCTTTCCCAACAGGCCCGAAACACTCCGTAACAAAGTGGCGGGTGGCATCCTCGAAATTACAACCGCATGAGTGACGTAAAATGACCAACAGGCCCGAAACGCTCAGTAACAAAGTGGCCGGTGGCATCCGCACAACCCCAGGAATGACTTAAAATGACCAACAGGCCCGAAACGCTCGTAACAAAGTGGCGGGTGGCATCCTTGTACAACCGCATGAATGTTCTTCAGACTGCAATTCGAGTGCTGCCTTCGAGCCGACATTGGTCCGGATTGACCAAGAAATACCTAATTTGCTAACCTCAAGTTTTTGTTTTCGCCCTCAAACCACTCAAGCTGAAAAAGAATGGGGGGGGGGGGGGGGGGGGGGGGGGGGGGGCGCGTGGGGCGTCGAAGCCCTCATCTGCCCCAGACATAGCGTTTCGAGCCCGCAATCTTGGGTTTAGTGTGCGCCCTTCCGGCGGGGTTGCACAACCAAAGGCACAACCAAAGACCCAAGCAAGGGTGGGGGGTGGGGGGGGTGTGGGGGGGTATGTGGGGGGGGTATGGGGAGCACACGAGACGCGGGAGAGGAGGAAGGCTGACTTAAAACATCTTAAAACCAACAACCCCACACCGAGCATTGGGAACAACACAACGGATAGATTCAGAGAACTCTGCGCGACAAACAGGCCTCGGGAGAAGCCCACGTATTCATTGCCGAAATCTGCAGCCTGCCGTAGCTTGTGCGAGCCAGCGTACTGAACAGAATTCAATACCCTCATGCCCCTCGAGTTGGGGCTCAGGAGAAAAAGTGATGCTTACGGCTTACGAGTGGTTGAAGATTTGGGCTCGCAGCAACTGTGTCGGGGGCTTATGCTGCAGCACATGTGACATATGTTCACCCATGGTGATTTAGAGTTCGCTTTCCTCGCTCAGCTGCCCAAGCACCACAGCTGCTCTCGTTTGATGTTCAGGACGCCTTCACCGTTGATATTTTCGTTTCGCTCTGCGCTTTGCATAATATGTACGTGGCGTGAGCAGTCGCTTGAGCGTGGCACAGTGATGAGCTCTTGCATGCTCCGCGCTGTGATTCGCTTTGCATCATACTGTGATCGCACTGATTCTTGCTTTTGAAAATTGCTTTAGTACGCATGTCCGGCAAGCCCAGGAAAAATGGATGAACCACTGCTTGTGTGTAGTAGCCACCCACCTCTTGGACTAGCCACTCCCTTGTTGCGTGGTGTACAAGCGAGTAATGAACTAAAAGGCTTTGTGCTTTCTGAGCGCTCTTGTTTTTTGTTGGGGTCATGAAAGAGCTTCGGCTTGTGCATTCGAGAGCTTGGGCTGTGTAGAGTGCCAGAAGTGCCTTTGACCCACTCAGGGTCCTGCCTTGAACGAGGCCTTCGCCACGCCCACGCCAAGCACCTATACGGCATGCGAATCACTTCGCGTGAGGCCAACTGCAACAGAAAGCCTGATTTACTCGGATGAAACAAGCTTTCAGGCAACAGGACCAACATGGAGAGGAGCGAACGGGATACCACCCACGCTCCCCGCCGAATCCCGATTAACGCGAACATGATACCTCCTAGCCCAGGCACCGGCGGGCGGGAAGAAGTTTAGGGGTTTGAGGCGCACAGCTGCGTTCGTCTGCAGTGCGCACCGCATGCTACGTTTGGCGAAAGCATACGAAAGCGGAAGCCAAACTGGCACGTTGTCGTCGTGAAACATGCCCTCAAGAGGTGGGAGTTTACGTACACCGCCCGAAATTGAAACGTAAATGGAGAGGTGCCGGCGCAGACTAGCACGCTCGCCTGGCGCCCTGATCCCCACCAGATTTCTTCTGACTCATTCGCCCACTGCTTGCATGGATAAACAGGCAAAATACCCTCAGGCTTATGTGGTCAGCCGCGGATTCGGAAACTGGAAACACGCGGATTCGGAAACTGGAAAACCCTGATTCTGGAAACTACAAAACGCGGATTCGGAAACTGAAAACGCGGATTCGGGAAACCAGGATTCGAGAAACCAGCTGATTCAGGAAACTGGAAAACGCGGATTCGGAAACCAGCTGATTCAGGAAACTGGAAAACGCGGATTCGGAAACTGGAAACCGCTGATTCAGGAAACTGAAAAACGCGGATTCGGAAACCAGCTGATTCAGGAAACTGGAAAACGCGGATTCGGAAACCAGCTGATTCAGGAAACTGGAAAACGCGGATTCGGAAACCAGCTGATTCAGGAAACTGGAAAACGCGGATTCGGAAACCAGCTGATTCAGGAAACTGGAAAACGCGGATTCGGAAACCAGCTGGGGAAAACGCGGATTCGGAAACCAGCTGATTCAGGAAACTGGAAAACGCGGATTCGGAAACCGCGGATTGGAGGAACCGGATTCGTGTGGATTCCAATTAGCGGATCGGGCGAGCCCAAAGCAGCCGTGTCCTGGATGATAGCGCATCCTCCCCCCCGACTTTTCAACAGGCTGGAGCCCAATGCTTTGATCATCCCCCCTCCCCCCCCCCCCCCCCCCCCCCCCCCCCCCCCCCCCCCCCCCCCCCCCCCCCCCGCCGTGACACCCAGTTTCAACAGGCTGGAGCCCAATGCAGTTGCTTGAATGGCTGCTGCAGCCCAGTGCGCTTGAATGGTTATTAGTGTCACAAAGCAGCCTTGTCCTGGACGCTATCATCCCCCCCCCTCGAGACCCAGTTTCAACAGGCTGGAGCCCAATGCTGTTGCTTGAATGGCTGCTGGAGCCCAATGCTGTTGCCCAATGCTGTTGCTTGAAGGGCTGCTGGAGCCCAATGCTGTTGCTTGAAAGGTTTGTCCTGGACGCTATCATCCCCCCCCCCTCGAGACCCAGTTTCAACAGGCTGGAGCCCAATGCTGTTGCTTGAATGGCTGCTGGAGCCCAATGCTGTTGCTTGAATGGCTGCTGGAGCCCAATGCGCTTGAATGGCTAGTGTCACAAAGCAGCCTTGTCCTGGACGCTATCATCCCCCTTTTCCGAGACCCAGTTTCAACAGGCTGGAGCCCAATGCTGTTGCTTGAATGGCTGCTGGAGCCCAATGCGCTTGAACGGTTAGTGTCACAAAGCAGCCCCCCACATTTCAACAGGCCCGAATCGCGCGGTTTCCTGAATCGCATGGTTTCCTGAATCGCGTGGTTTCCTGAATCGCGCAGTTTCCTGAATCGTGCAGTTTCCTGAATCGCGCAGTTTCCTGAATCGAGCAGTTTCCTGAATCGCGTGGTTTCCTGAATCCGCTGGTTTGCTGAATCGCGCAGTTTCCTGAGTCGCGCAGTTTCCTGAATCGCGCAGTTTCCTGAATCGCGTGCTGTCAGTTTCCTGAATCGCGCGGTTTCCTGAATCGCGTGTTTTCAGTTTCCTGAATCTTGTGGTTTCCTGAACCGCGGTTTCCTGAATCGCGGGAAAACAGTTTCCTGAATCGCGCAGTTTCCTGAATCCTGGTTTCCTGAACCCTGGTTTCCTGAATCGCGTCCAGTTTCTGAATCGCGCATGGTTCTCTCTCCCAAGCCTCCCAACTACCTGCATTATTCCCGAAAAACCTAACTGCTCAGGCCACTAGAACTGTCAAAGGGTTCCCTGAACCCTTTTTGCATCCGGACTCCCGTGGTACCCTAAACCCTATAAACCCTATATAAAGCCTATAAACCCTGAGCTCTTTACAGCTTTTTGATTCTCAGGGGGAACACAACTTGAAAGGGCTGCTAGGGTGCTAAGACTTCTACGAGGAGGGCTTAGACTGAAACACGGAATTTCTGGAAGTTTGGCACAAGGGTCTTGAGGTTTGGAGTATCCTAGGCCAAAGATGCCGATTCGGATTGCTTCGGTGTTCCTGTGTTTGTTAAGCCCCAAGTTATTGGCGACATAAGCGGAAGCATGGAGACTTTAGCACCCAGCTCGTCTTTCAGTATTTGCAATGCAAAGCCCGAAAGAGGCTGATGGCTTTCCCTGGCTCAACCGTGTTGACTTAAGAGGGCCTCAACTTTGCTGAATCCACTCATGCCTCGGGCCGTAGGTGTCTTGGTAGCATACAGCAGGTACCCCACCTGTAACCCCCTACTGCACCCCTTTATTTGGCACTTTGTTGATTGGAATGGGTACCCCAGCAAGTGCTGGAGACCTTTCACGTCTTTGCTGCACTCATGCTCGGTTTTGCGAGACCTCAAAAGGCTCAGCTGCAAAGGCTCGTGTGTGGTGAGGTCAAATTTTTTTCCACTATCGAATCATGGAGACTTTAAGATTTCACCCTCAACTTTTCAGCACTTTCCCAAGCTTGGCTTAAGGTTGCTAGAATGGTACTGCTTCCAGCTCCCCCAACACTATGGTATGTTTGGGCTCCATGCAGCAAGCCTGCAGGCGGCACTTCCTCATGTGCTCCTGCCAGGATCAAGCAAGCAGCAACACTTTCGATTCTCACGCTTGTGCACGGAGGCAGTCTCAAGGGGCAAGGCCTAGTGCTTTAGAGTTTAAACTTTAAAGTACGGGTTTGGAATTTGAAGTTTTTGCGTTTTGGGTTGTGGCCTGCTTTTTGCCCTAAACACATCCCCTCAGTTTGCCAGCAAGGCGCACTTCAGATTTGGAGGGGAACCCATTTAAGACCGGCCATACGATTACGTGCCCTGGGCTTGATGACACGCGCTGCCGAGGGGGCTGATGGACTCGGGAAGTGGCGACGCACTGGCAGCCAACCATTCAGGATCCTTCCAAACCGAAACTCCAAAACACAACTTGCGAGCACGCCTCCAGGGCCTTGTGGCAGAAGATCTTGCTGCAAAACTCGCATCTGGGCTTGGGCTGAGGCTTAAAACCTCTTCAAACCTGCAACCCTAAACCCTAATCCCTAATCCCTAAGCCCTAAACCCTAAACCCTAAACCCTAAACCCTAAACCCTAAACCCTAAACCCTGACTGCGCGTCCAAGGCTCTGGAGCCGCCTGCATGAGCAGCCCCTTTTGCAAGGTGGTGGCGCCGGTGCTTCTGCTCCACTCACCTAGGCAAGAAGGGGAACCCCAAGCTTTCGGGTCCTACAAATATAGGTAGAGAGAGAGAGGGACGATGGCACCCGTATAAAAAGAACCCAAAAAGGGACCGGAAATTAGCGAACTACCCTGCTACGTCTTTGTACACGCCGCTGGATGCTTTGAAAGACGGGTGCCAAACGTTTTGTGCTGGAGGGGGCCGTTCATTGCAGCCCCATGCCCGAGGCGACTTCGCTTCGTTTGGGAGTCCTGTTTATGGTTTTGGGCGTGGTCAGTGGCAAGCCCTGCTGAACTTCGGAACCCTAAACACTGTGCTCTGTGCTAACGATGAAGTCCCACATGTCCCACCGCAGGCTACGGAACTTCATTTCCCGGCCCTCAGGGCACCTCAGCAGCCACCACTGGCGCTGCCTGCACTGGGGCTTAGGCCGTAGCGGATTCAAGGGATTTAAGGGATGTTAGGGTTTAAGGGGCTAAATGGTTTGAGGGTGTAAGGGTTTGTGGATGCAATGGTACGTTTGCGTGAGGACTCAGGGTTTCGAGTTTCGAAGTCTATTGCGCTAGGGCTTACGAGAACCTTCGGGCTTTGGGACCGCCAAGGCCAAGGGGACCCAAAAAATCAAACCACTTGCTGTAGGGACATCATATCTTGCCTGTTTACGGTTCGGGTTTGGAGCTTCGGCATCCAGGGTTTCGATGGTTGACTCTGTTGTGGTAGGTAAAGTGGACTTGTCGTGGGAGTTGAAGGTATATACCAGCATATACTATATACTCTTCCAGCTGCACAAGCTGCACAAGCTGCACAAGCTGCACAAGCTGCACAGGCTGCACAAGCCAAACGTGCTGAGCAGATTGGCGAACAGCAACCGACTGGAAGGTCAACTGGGAAGGAGGTGGTATCCTTCAAAGACTGATAGGTACTGATTCCCTTTCCCACGACTCGCAGGATCCTTCCACGAAAGTGTCAAAGAGATCCCCAAAACAACGATGTCTCCGACGCCCCTTTGCTGTCGTATGGAAGTCGTTTCGCCCTGCTCGTGGGGTTAGCGTTCGATCTGGTCACTTATGCCAAGCCCACGGCCAAATACATGAGGTGAGGACATACAATAGGGGTCGGAATAATGATTAATAGCATTCCCTTATGGTCCCTTCTTAAATAAACTATAATAACCCCCCCCCCCCAACAAAAAAAAAAACATTCTAATTATTAAAGCCACTTCCATTACAGACATCTTGCCGTGCACCTTGCCGCGCTTGCGGCCGCACTTCCGGCAGAACAGCGAGTCGTCCATGCAGACGTTGCCGCAAGAAAGGCAGCTCTGGCAGGGCTGGACGGCTTCTTCTGGGTTCAGACGTTATAACACTAAACCCTAAACCCTAAACCCTAAAGTTGCAAGGTCCGACTCTGAGACCAGATGTGCGCGCTTCTTGGAGCTTCGGCATTCGGGGTTCAAGGCTCGGTACTGGCATCTTGGGCTCATGGGGGCTGGCTTCACGGTTTGGGATGCTGGGTTTGGGGTGTATCTTACGACTTTGCCACCACCACCACCACCACCGCCGCCACCACCGCCGCCACCACCACCACCACCACCACCACCCCCACCCCCACCCCCACCCCCACCCCCACCCCCACCCCCACCCCCCACCCCCACCCCACCCCCACCCCCACCCCCACCAGCACAGCCACCAGTCGGCACCTCGTCACGCTGGGACTCTATGTACTTACGGTTGAGTATTCACTGCCCAGAAGTAGTAGGTATAACCCATAAAGCCGTAGGAAACGAGGGCGCACGCAACACGGTGGAATGAGACCCAAACTGCCTTGAGCCGTCCCTGACAGATCTGCCCTTGCGGCAACACTTTCATGGACTGCCGGAAGTGCGGACGCAACTAGCCCCCCCCCCCCCGTGCCGCGCCTGCCCTGCCTGGCCGTCGGCAGAAGAAGCGGCGGATGTCTGAGGCGGGGGATCGACTGTGGTGGCTTTTTGGACCTCAAACCTAAGCCCGAAACAAACTAAACCCTAAACTCCCGTTAAACTCCTGAACCCTAAACCTCAACCCCAAACGCTGTGTAGCCGCAGCCGAGAGTCCCTGGAATCCCTGGAACCCTAAGGCTCCATGTACCTATCTTGGGTTTAGGGCTTGGGGTGTAGGGCTTGGGGTTTAGGGTTGAGGGTTTAGGGTTGAGGTCTAGGCTATAAAATACCTGAACCCAAAAAACCTACCCTACGGGGCTCCTTATCATGGCTTCCTTGTATACGTCATTATAAGCCCGGTATACTTACGGCCAGCTGGCACCACATGGGCGCCCTTTTTTGGGTTGGTTCCTCTAGAACCCAGAACCAAAGAAGAAAGGTAAAGGGTACTGCTGAGCTATTGGGGAGTGTTAGGAAACCTTGGGTTACATGCCCCCCTTGGACCCCCTCCCTGCGGAACTCTCTAGACCTACTTGGAGGTTCATGGTACTTATTAACCAATTCTGTACTTGTATCTGTACTATTAACCATATTGGGGCACTTAACGGGCTGATAAGTGGGCTACAAGTACAGCTATAATTGGTTTGTAAGTACCATGAACCTCCAAGTAGGACCTTGGAGCTCGCCTTCTGCTGCAGCTCCGCAGCCTCGCGAGCGGCGGCGTCCTGCGCCACTTGCGCAGCCTTGGCCTGTGAAGGCGGGAGAGACTTGCCGGGGTGTTCTAGAGCAGGGTTTAGGGCCAAACCCTGAACCCTAAACCCTGAACCCTAAACCCCAAGGTTTAGGGTTTAGAGTCTAGGGCTTGGGGGGGTTCAAGGTCTTAGGAGCTTAGGGTTCGGAAAATCTCGGACGTAGCAAGCCCCCGACACCAAAAACCCCCTGCGCCTCGCTTTGGCTCTTGCCAAACTCCAAGAAGCGTGCGAGTTCTTCGATCTTGGCCTCCCAGGCCGAAACGAATTGGGGGTTTCCGAACATAGGGGTACCTTTTTTGGGGGGAGTCCCTTTAAGGGGGTTCTATTCTATTTGGTGAAATAAAGGGGTACCCTATATTGGGAAATACCAAGTTTGAGGGGGCTTGAGAGTTAGCGTCGAGGGTTTTGGAGTTTAGGGTCAGGCCCCTCGTCGGGCGAAAGACCGGCTACCACACAAAGCCGCCAAATAACCCTGGTCGCGCTGACTCAGCGTCTCCACCCAGGCAAAAGCCAAGTTGAAGGGTCTAGGGGTTTGGGGTTGAGGGATTAGGGGTTCGAAGTTTAGGGTTGAGGTTTAGGGTTGAGGGTTTAGGGTTGCGGGTTTGGGGTTGTCGGGTGGCCCTGCTCCCGAAGCCCACCTGGAAGCACTTGTCGAGCTGGTCCATGACAGTGCCTGCCCCGCATCAAAGCTCAAAAGTCCTGAATGTTCCAGGCTTCGGCTTTCTTCAACGAATCTTACTTGTCCAGGTTCCAGGGTGGGCTCAAGGCTTACCTTTGGGAATATTTAGGGCCTATACTGCCCTCCCCCCCCCCCCAACAAAACAAAAAAGAGCGGCTTTAAAGGCTACTAAAGATACGGCAGGCAAGCCACCAAAAGAAGCTAGGCCCACCCTAAGCCCAACCGAAAAGGTTCTAACAAGGACCCGGGTGCAGTCGAAGCCGTCACGATCACATGGCTTCTTCGTGAGGACCTCGCGGGGAGCAAAGGGGCTCAGGGGTTCACAGGGGCTGAGGACTCCAAGGGATAGAAGGAGGGACCCCTAGAAGGGCCCTTAATCTTCTTCCCTTATATCACTCCTATGGGGTTGAGGGTATGTGGGTCAGGGTAAACCCCTAAAACCCTCCAGGAATGTGCTTGTTTCGGGCTTTCTATGGGAATCCCGGCCCCTCCTACCCCCCTTACGTAACCCAGCCCATCTGCCTGCTAAGAAACTGCAAGTTCCTAAACCCTAAACCCTAAACCCTAAACCCTAAACCCTAAACCCTAAACCCTAAACCCTAAACCCTAAACCCTAAACCCTAAACCCTAAACCCTAAACCCTAAACCCTAAAACCCTAAACCCTAAACCCAACCCTCAACCCTAAACCCTTCAAGGGGTTTAAAGGGCATCTGGGGTTCCCCTTTGCACTCTGGGGCCCAGGACGCTTCTCTGCGCCGCCTTCATCGACTCGTCCAAGCTCAGCTTGCTCAGCAGGGGCTGGATGGCCTCAGGGTTTAGGGTTTAGGGTTTAGGGTTTGGGGTTTAGGGTTTAGGGTTTAGGGGTTTAGGGTTTAGGGTTTAGGGGTTCAGGGGTTTAGGGTGAGTAGAACCAGCTGTAAACCCTAAATCCTGTGCGCCCTAAACCCTATCAACACCGGGACTCCTACAAATCCCGTAAGATAAACCCAGGACCCGGCTTAGACAGGGTAGGTGTCAAAGTCGCGTGCCTCGATGTGCGAATGTGGGGAGTCCGTCCACTCGCCGACCTGGGCAAGGTGAACTTTCCGCCCCCCCTCAACCCTCCTACCCGGGCCTACCCTGCACCCAAGCAACCTTAACCCTAAACCCTGCACAGCTAGAGGCGCGAAAGAAAACAGACGAGAAGACAACAAAACCAAAAAGTGCACAAAAACGCGCCCCAAAATTCGAAAGATGCAAGAGGCAAGGCCCAGCTCCTACCCCAGTCCCTACAGCACCCGGCACCCTAAATCCTAAACCCCAAACCCGAAAAAAAACTAAAACCCTAAACCCTAAACCCTCGACAGCAGCTCAAACCTGCTAAGCTTCGAACCCCAAAGAAATCAGGAAGGCGTGATCTCTTCTTTTAATGGTCCCTGTTACAGTCGTCGCCTGAATCTACGATTCCATATGCTAGTGGGACTGGGGCAATCTTAATCCTGGAGCCCCCGGCGCACAATAAACCCTACCCCCCACACCCCACACCCCACACCCCACACCCCACACCCCACACCCCACACCCCACACCCCACACCCCACACCCCACACCCCACACCCTAAACCCTAAACCCTAAACCCTAAACCCTAAACCCTAAACCCTAAACCCTATACCCTAAACCCTAAACCCTAACCCTAAACCCTAGCCTTGAGGATCTGCCAGGTGCCGCTCAAGGCGGCCGCCAGCTCCGCCTGCAACACTCTTAGGGGGATGTCAGGGGGGTTTAAGGGCTGTGTAAGGGTGGTTGAAGGGGTTTAACGGGGTTTCAGGGGGGCTGAGGGGGGTTTAAGGGGGGTTTAAGGGGTTTAAGGGGTTTGGGGTTTAAGGGGTTTAGGGTTTAGGGGGTTAGGTTTTAGGGCGGTCAAGGGGGGTTGAAGGGGTTTGGGGTTGAGGGTTTAAGGGGTTTAGGGGGCTTAGGGGCATTTAGGGGTTGAGGGGTTTTGGTTTAGGGGGATGAAGGGGGTTTAGGTTAGTTTAGGATTAGGGGTTAGGGCGGTTTAAGAGGATTGTGGGCTTAGGGTTTAGGGGGTTTATGGGGTGTTAGGGGGTTTAGGAGGTTTGGGGTCTAGAGGTTTTACGGTTGAGGGTTTAGGGGGTCCAAGGGGGTTAAGGAGTTTTAGGGTTTAGGGCTTAAGGGGGTTTGGGGGGCTCAGGGGGTTTGGGGGTTTAGGGGTGCAAGGGGGGGATTAGGGGGGTTTAAGTGGTTTGGGGGGCTTAGGAGGTTTAGGGGTTTAAAGGTTTAGTGGTTTGTCAGGGTTTAGGGTGTCTGTTACCCTTTTCAGCGGGCCAGCCCATTCTGGGGGTACGCCGACAAAGATAGGGCTTAGGGGTTCGGGAACATAGGCAGAAACTTTTGTTCACCTCGAGTTTCATTTTAAAAATCATAACTTCTGACACTACATACTTCTTGAGGAGACCATAGGGTTCGCAAGGTAGTACATGTTGCCATGACAGCGCAGGGCTTCGGGTCTAGGCTTTGTCTGCCCTGTCGCGTGTGCGCGGGCGCAAAACCTCAACAGCCCCCCCCCTCCTCCACTAAACCCTAAGCCCCCTAAACCCTGCCCCCACCCACCCAAAATGCCAAACTCGCGGGGTCTCAGCCCAATAAGACAAGAGATCATGCCGTGCTTCTTCGGTTTATGCAAAAAACAAAAATAGTCTGCTATCCGTCAATAGTGTGGGGTTAGGCCTTTGGGTACCTTGCAGGCCAACCATCCCCTGTCTGGTTGCATCACCATTGCCAGCACATGGGTTCTCTCCCAGGCGACACCACGGGTTGTGGCCTTGAGATTGTGTTACTAAGGCTTTAGGTTTCAAGGCTTAGGTAGGGATGTGTAGGGCTTGGCCGAAGACAAGCACCAAAGAATCTTGTTCTTGCGTTTGCTCCCCCATGAGTCCTCCTCGATGCCTCACCCAGCTTCTCGAAGCGTGAACCCGCTATGCAAATGTCTTGGTGTTGATGGGTTTTGGGCTTTGGTGGGTTCTGGGCTTTGGGAAACCTCCTCACCAAAATATGGGGGGGTTTTACGAACATAAGGGACCCTTAGTTTTAACCCCCAAGTAGTCGGATTCCCTAAAAATAAGGACCCCGATAGGTACCTCTAGTGTCGGAATCCCCCAAATCTCAAAAGAGCCAGGCCTTTTCGGCAGCAGCCTTGCCGAGGCTGGACTCCATGTCGCTCGGCGCCTCCTGGCCAAAGCTGCGCTCTGGACTCGAAAAACAGCCCTAGAACGGGTTTAGGGTTTTAGGGTTACTTGGAGGTGCATGGTACTTATAACCCAACTACAACTGTGTGGTTCTAACCCACTTCTAAGCCCTTAAAGAGCCCAAATATAGTTATCATTGGGACCTAAGTACAGCCATAATTGGGTTAGTAAGCACCATGAACCCTCCAAGTATGAGTCTTTGGGGGACAGGGATTGGAGTTTAGGGTTGCAACCCCCTCACCGCGCAGACCCCTGGTGTGAACACCTCCCTCAAGTCCGAATATTCCTGGCGTCTGACCCACCCATGTGAAAAATAGAGGATACCGAGAATGAAATGAGGGCAAGGGCATGAACCCCCGAAGCCCAAACTCTGCAACCCAAGCAAAACTTACTTGGCTTCGCAAGTTTAAAGCTTAGGGCTCTCAGGTTCGCTTCATCTCAAAAACGACCCACTTTATGTATATGCATATATAGATGTATACATATGTAAGACATCGAGAAAACACTCAAGGAGAGTACAGGCACCATAGCGCCTCACTCTTCGCCGCCGCAGATTTGGCCACGATCACAGCCTGCCGGTGTTTAGGGTTTAAGCCCCCCCAAAACCCTTAGGAAACCCTGAACCTCGAAAGCCCCGAGGCCTCAGAGGACGTGCGGAGGTCGGTCTCAGCAGCTGCAACTGCAGACTGCTTGGCTTTACCGGTTAAGTTTCGGCTCAGGGGCTTCGGTGGGGGCTTGTAGGTTTGTAGGGCTTTTTTGGAAGGATTTTGGGGGTTCAGGCTTGAGATGGCTGCTGAAAGAAGCGCTTGACGTGGGGCTCAAAGTGTTTGGGGGTCGGCCGTGGGCCACAGGCAAAGTCGCCAGGTCGCGCCTGAAGCATCGACTCCGCCGCGGCTCGGCTCTCTGACAGCGTTGCCTGGCAGACCCTATGGACCCCAAACCCTAGACTGCTTTTTTTGGGATCCGCTTGGGATCCTATTTGTGCCGGTAAGGCTCAGGGATAGGCTGCGGGTTTAGCGGTTTTGGGTTTCGAGTTTGGAGGGTTGAGGGTTTTAAGGCCTTTGCGGTTTCGGGGTCTAATCCACCGAGGCCGGGCCGAGTTTTTTTGGCCCGGAATGGGTACCCCCTGTAGTCGACCCACGTGCCCGGACCCAGGTAAAGGGGCCCCTGACCCTCAGGTCCCTTCCCCGGGCCCCCCCCCCCCCCCCAACCCCTAAGCTTGACACCCAGCTCGTCGCCTTCTCCTACGCCCCCCTACGCCATGGACGGCCCCCGTACAAAAAGGGACGGGTGTGCCGCCTTCCCCCCCTCACCCCCACTACCCCTTCCTGCCGCCTCGGTACCCTTGTCGAGGTAGCGATAAAACTTTGGTCTAATGAAGCGAGTCTTGGTGGGTTTTGAGCTTGGGGCTTGCGCCACTGTTTGCACTGTGATTTGCCTATTGTTGAGAGAGACAAGAGAGAGAGAGAGAGAGAGAGAGAGAGAGAGAGAGAGAGAGAGAGAGAGAGAGAGAGAGAGAGAGAGCGAGAGAGCCAAATCAGAAGCCCTAAACTCCTGAGGGACTTGACAGAACAACCCCGTACATCCTAGTAGAATGAAAGGCGACTCCTGCGAAGATACCCCGCACGCACCTTGGAATTCTCCACCCCCGACACTTGCGCGCTTTCGTCTTCCACAACCTGCGGGTTTTGGGTCTTCGGTGCAGGGTAGAAGCTGCTTGGACTCCCCCCCACCCTCCCCTTCCCCTTCCCCTTCCCCTTCCCCCTCCCCTCCCCCTCCCCCGGTTGAGGTTCGAGGGTTGAGGGTTGAGGGTTGAGGGTTGAGGGTTGAGGGTTGAGGGTTGAGGGTTGAGGGTTGAGGGTTGAGGGTTGAGGGTTGAGGGTTGAGGGTTGAGGGTTGAGGGTTGAGGGTTGAGGGTTGAGGGTTGAGGGTTGAGGGTTGAGGGTTGAGGGTTGAGGGGCCTCAGGCTTCTTGAAACGCTCCTCGTCCGACGTGGAGGAGGAGGAGTGCGAGTCTTGGCCATCGGAGCTGTGAAGCTCAGCGCTGTCCTCCGGGGTGGTTTGAACCCGATAACCCTAAACCCAGGGGTCTAAATTTAAGGGTGGTCATGCTGGCCTAAATCCAAGCCCTAAGCCCTAAGCCCTCAGCCCTAAGCCCTAAGCCCTAAGCCCTAAGCCCTTAGCCCTTAGCCCTAAGCCCTAAAACCTAAACCATCCCTGGCGGCGCGCCTCCAGGGCCCTCTCGCTGACCGACTCCGGCGCCTCGCAGTGTTGGGATTTAATGTTAGAGTACTTGGTTCTTATCTTTGGGTAGTTACATGGTCCCGTAGTATGGGCCCTGAAAGGGTCCCCATACATACCCCTTATGTACAAACTAAGGGCCCGTACATCAGAATCGGTAAGGGTCTTGAGGTTCGGGGTTCCCTACTACTCCCTAAGGCTCCCTAAGGTTCCCTAAAGTTCCCTAGGTACCCACCCTCATGACCCCCCCCCTCAGATCCTAGACGTACAGATCTGGCGAGCTGTAAGGCCCAGGCCCGGGCGTTGTGCGCCTGGCTGCAAGCACAGCAAGAGATGACGAGTCTTCAAGGCTCAAAACCATTCTGGCTTCAGCTTTAAACAGGCGTCTGGCCCTGAGACCAGCACAAAGGACTGCATATCCACTCCCTGCTCTACGACCTCCGAGCCGGTTGAATGGAAGAAGTAAGGCCCTGCACGCCGTTCTTGTTCCAAACTTGACAGGGATGAAAGGGCTTGAGTCGCAGATCTCATCCGGGCCAGTACGGGCCTTGACGAAGGAAATCGGCTGTCACAGCTGATGTATTTGCAGCCCAAGGGAGATGATGGGACCCTCTGGAAACGGTCGGTTGCGAGCCATGTGGCTCTCGAAACGATGGGTGCTCGGCGCCACGGTACCAGCATGCAATGTCGAGCCAACTTTTGGGCCCGCGGTTTTTGGTTGAGTTTTTTGTTAACCTTTTGAGGTTAGGATAGTAACAGGATTCAACTGTCAAGGGATCGAAAGCTCACACATTTCGAGGTGCCCATGTGCAGGTTGCCACAGCGACGGACAAAAACAGAAGCTTATGCAAGGAAGGGCAGTTTTACGCAAATAAGGGACCCCAAATACAGACCCCCAAATAGTAGGATCCCCTTATAAAAAGGACCCCAAGAAGGCACGAGTAAGGCTTCATTGCTTTAATGAGAAGCTTTCGATATCTATATCTATATCTATATCTATATCTATATATCTATATCTATACATATATGTATGCAGTTTCAGCATGTAGCTTTTAGGCACTTGGGCGCTCTGCTGACTTGGCTGGTACAACCCTAAAGCCGCGCATCCTGAAACCCTAAAGCCCTCAACTGAGTGCTCCAACTTTGCACCCGACCTCGATGGCGGCAGCAACCCTCGCCGCAATCGCAGCAGAGCGGCGCACCTGGAAAAGTCGCCAAGAGAAGCGAGCCAACTGCTTGTATCACTCGAATTGTGCGGAAAACGAATATACACACACATACATATATATATATACACAGGAAAACAAAACGAACCATGTTTTTTTGTGCTTGCACCGATGATAGTGACAACACCGCATACTGAGTCCAACCCTATACTGGAGGTTGGGATGTTCACCCTTATACTAACAGTCCTGAATAGGCATTGTAGTATCACCTCTTTCTAATCCTCATTAGGACTTCGAAGGGGAAACATCCCAAGTTAGAGGTTTTGTGTTTCGGCTGCCCTTTTGGCAGGCTTTGGGGATAGTGCAAGGATTACAGTGCTTTGGGGGCGCATTCGGGGACCACCTTTTGCGAAACCCCCGTAGAAGCCTCTCGTCTCTTCCTGCTGGCACTAGGTCGGCACATGTTGTGTGGCAGTTTCGAAGTTTCAAATCCTAAGTCTGTCACAGATCTTTGCTCAAGCCTCAAGCTTCTGGATGAGGTTCACTTTCGCCTTTCGTTTTTCTTCGTTTTTCTCTCTCGTCTGCCCCGTCAATTGGATTCTCCACACCCTCCATGTTATTTCTGCCATACTGTCGCACGCACCTGTCAACGAAGTGGAAACCTAAGCCCGGGACGATTTGGTCGCGGATGCTGACACGCTGGAACGTAGCCTCCTTCTCCGACTGCTCCCTTTGCATCTCCGCCTCTTGCGTCTCCTCCTCCTCCTCCCGGGTCTCTTCCGTCTCCTCATCCGACTCCTCTTCTTCGGTCTCCTCCTCCTCCTCTGACCCCTCCTCTTCCGACTCCTCCTCTTCCGATGCCTCCGCAGATGCAACACGCAGACGACGCAAACCTACACATTCAGGTTTGCAGCCGGCTTGTCCGACCCAACCTCCTCCGACCAGCCTTCGACAATCGTCTCCTGCCGGGACGGAGGCAAGACTTTGCGCGCCATGCATCACGAAGCGCTGCGGCCTCACCGTGAACATCCGTGATGTAGAAGGCGCCATCGTCCGCCCAGATGTCCGCGGCGGGATGAGCAAGGTCCACAGCGCCTTGCTCTTCCCCGCTCCACACGATGACCATGCCGTCATCCCCTCGCAACATGTGAACATGCTCAAAAGCGCAAAATACTGGCTGTGGAAGTACGCATGATACCTGCCAACATGATCCCTCCATGGACCAACAGTTTCACTGCAGCGTGACTCGCCGAAAAACACATTCAAAAACGATACTGCGGCAGGCCGAAAGTTCGTCGCACTCGCAACATAAGACAAGAAGACAGCAGAAAGGAAAGCCCCCTCTCCCCCTTCGACTCCTGCACTCCAAGAGCGCCAGGCCCTCCTCCGGAACAATAACAATAGTATAAGTTTATTCCAGGGGATTCATTCCTCCGCTGGCCAGGCTAGGACAAAACCATGATGCAGTACTCCGCTGTCCTCCATCAACTTTGTCTTGTCAAGAGCGAAGAAACTTTATTCCCGGTCATGTAGTGCTTTGCTGCCCATGTTTTTTTTAAAGCGGGCGCCTCTTTACTACATCAGTAGCACAGTAGGCCGTTCTTGTGGGGCTCGCAACTAGGTGTGAGACAAGGACATCTACTTTGAAAGCCAAACTGTACAAGCCAGCGAGTGAAAAAGAAGTCGTGACTACAAAGAAGCAACCGCTAGCGCAGAGGCCCTTATTGCAAGACAACTTAACGCAAGGCCAGCATGGTGAGACCAACGCAAACAAGAACCTACCGGCACCAATCACTCAGCTGCCCGTCACCCATAGCAATGCTGCGCCACGTCTGGTACAGACATTAAGCGAAAGTATGGGTAGGCCGTAAGGCAAGGAACCTCCGTCACCTAAACTGCTCAACGCGTCCGTAGAGACAGTCCCCACACAAGCGCCAGGGCCGTAGCAATAGCACTCAGGACTCCTTGTTGGGCTGGTGTGGCTACACAATGCTGCCGTCGGCGCTGTGTGAGTCCGGGCGTCCTCACATAGCCATGGCCATAGAGCGGGCCTGGAGTGCTGCTTGCAAGAGGCCATATTCTTACAGCCCCGCGCAGCGGCCGATTTTTGAGACGGCGCAAGAGCCCCAAAGGCTGCCGACTGGCACTTGGCTCGTGTGCTTCCCAGGTACCGGGAGCCTATCGGCTTGGCATGCTTAGCCTGGTGCAGTTTAAGGCCCCCAAGGCTGCGTAACGGTCTGCAGCCAACCGCGCGTCAAGTGTGAAAGTCAAGGGGCCTTATAACTCGGAGCCCCGCGCAGCGGCCGATTTTCTGAGAGCACTTCAAGCAGGTTTACCCCGTGACTACACCTGATGCGGGACCCACAGCAAAGTGCTAGGCCTAGTCACTTCTGGACATGCTGGGATAGGTTGAAGCAGCAGTTCCTCACATCCCTTCTGGGCCTTCTGGCGAAGGTTCCGGCAGCCGTTTGCGAGGCCTAAGCACTTCTGGGCCTTCTGGAGAAGTTTTAGGCGGCCTTCTGAAGAAGTTTTAGGCAGCAGCTTAGGGTCTACTCACTGCTGGCACTCCAACTTGAGGGCACCCCTCCAGCATGAACAGGCTTGTCCCTGCCGGTTGTTCCAGGCACTTTTCCAGCACAAACAGGAGCGTCCCTGCCGGGTAAGTACTGACACAATAAGGCCTCCGCCCTATGCTGCGACTAGCACTGTCACAAGAGTGAGGAGCAGACCAGAAACCTAAGCAGCGAACCTAAACCCAAAATGCAGGAACCTGCACACCCGCCCACTGCCACCACGCACAGAGCTGCACACAGACGAGCCCGCCAGGCTCATCAACAAGATGCCTTCGCGGAGCCCCGCAGCGCTAGGTGCATAATTGGCAAGTGGATGTGAGGAAGCATTTTGAGTAGAAGGGAATGCTACTAAAGGACATTTTGACACTACACCTCAGCTAGCCCGGCACGCTTGCACCGACTGGCAAGGACTTGGGCCCCTCAGCGTGACTGCAGGTTTTGGGATTCCCCCCCCCTCTTGGCTATTCCGGTACTCCGTGCAACGGGGGCCAGAATAACCTTTCACACCTCCTTCATTGCACACTGCCCTTTTTGTTCTGGACCTCTCTTTATAGACCAGAATACTCCGCGCAAATAAACAAGCCCTTTCTCTCACGGCATCGATGCCTGCCAGGATCACCTTTCACACGGCTTTCATCGCCTCATGTCCGGTTTTTTGCAATTCATTGCTTCCTGCCCGCTCATTTGCAACTCCCTGTATGCATTCACTTCTTTGCTGCAATTCCCTCTGCTAACCACAGCATTTTTTGGGTTATTGAGGGAATAGCCTAGAGGGGCACACCAAGCCAAGCACATCACATTGAGGAATTTGAGCTTTTGGTTGGGAATTTCGGTTCAGGGTACTTTGAGGAATCTCAAGACTTCCGGTGCTTTCGGGGTGACAATCTAGAGGACGTTTACTCAAACGATCAACTTGCCATGCCAACACAAAGCATGCCGGTCCAACTTTTTCATTCTCGACAGAGATCCTTGGAAGAAAACGTAATCCCAGTACCTCAGGCGCCTCCGGCACCGTAACACCTCTCTCCATCCCACTTTTCAGGGTGGAGCCAAAGAGAATAGGCGCTCCTGATCCGTCTGCCCCAGGCCTCCTTGCTTGGGCGCAAGTCGCTTCTGGCCAAGCTCCGTGTTTGGAGTCTCCACAGGCGCCGCTGAACTTCCCGATGCTGAGGCCCTGGCCTTGCCGAGTGGTGGAGGAGGCCTTGGTAGCCGCAAATGGGGCGGTACTCCCGGCAGGGGCGCCACATTCAGAAGCGACCATACATCCCCAATCGTCCCCACAGTCGATGCAGGAGAGGGAGGCTCGACTCCCATATCTTCTTCCACCGCTGGAACTGCAGTTGGAGAGGCTTTCACCTGTGTCGTTGGAGAGGCCTTTACACGAACAGGTGGACTCCGAGGAGGGCACATTGGTTCCGGAGGAGGCATCGAACCACGCTCCACGGCATAGATCTGGGCCAGGCGGGACTCCTCGAGGACTCCCTGCTTGACCTTTACCCGCTTGATCCCCTCCGCGAAAAACTCGGTGCCCGGTTCCTCCAAGGTCGAGGTCGAGGAGGAACTCTCGGTCTCCTCTTCTCGGACCCTTGAAGATTCTTCCCCCAAGGCGGAGGTAGAGGAGGTAGCCGCTTTCGCCGCGGCCTTTGTCTTCGCACCGGCTTTTCGAATGGAACGCTCCTCCTTGGATACAAGAAAGATCTCGGCGTAAAAGTCGGCGGCATTTTCGAGCTCCTTCCAACAGCGCCAAGAGTCCTTTGCCAGGACGCTCTCCGGCAATTCCACCTGAATCCCACCACGAGCCCGGACCTCCACAGCATCCCCTTCCTTCACGTTCTCCCAGTCCTTGATCGTGGAAAGAACATGTCGAAGGCCAAGCACAATGCTGCTGGAAAGACCCGAGTCGTGGATGTACTCCTCTCCTTTGCCAACGAGTTCGATGGCCTTGATCACCATGGCCTGGCTGACGCCATAGTTGACGAGGGAATATCCTTGTTGAAGACGGTAAATCCGAGCAAAGTTCGCCTCCTGCTGCTCGGTCGTCTCCATGGCAGTGTCGCAGACATACACCGTGTCCCTGACAGTTTCGCCATATTCCCCGCCCCTTTCTCGCAAACTCTCTGGCAGCTTCACAGTCATCGGTGGTACCTCGGGGAAGCCCAGGTTGTGGTGTCTCAACCACCGTTGCTCTGGAACTCTTTCTCCTGTCACAGGGGTTTCCGGATAAAACCGGCTCGAGCGGGTCAAGGCCGGGATTCGTCTCCCGACAACAACCGGGCTCTCCATCAATCCGGACAAATTTTCCATATAAGCGGGGTCGTTCATGACCCGACTCATAGTCTCCAAATGTCCTCCATCTTCTCGGGGTACCAAGGGATAAAGACCATCTTGCCCGACGATGTTCAACGCTTAGGTCCCTTCGGAGACCCTCTTGGAAGTTCAGGAAGTACTGGATCCTCGGGTTCCGAAGCATCCTTTCCCAATGGGCCACACTGTAGGTGTCCCCACTTCCAGCAGCTTCGGTCTCCGGCCCTCGGCACTCCTCCGAGGGGTCCCTTTTTGGCACATGTAGCACCGGACCCTCCGACGCCACTTCCACCGATGGAGCAGAGGCCTTCACAGGTGTTGGGGCTTTCCAAGTTCCCCACTGATCTTCTGAAGCCACCTCCGTCGGCGAAGGAGGGCAAGGCACACGAGCTATCAGGGTTGGGGCAGAAAAACGGTACCCGGTGGTAATCTCCTGGGCCTGATCTTCGGATGCCCGGGAGTCCTGGGCATTCATCGCCGCATCTTCCTCCCCAACAGGGTGAAAGCTTCCCATGAGGTGCAGCCGCGAAAGAAGATCCGTCACAAAAGCGGGAAAGCGTCGCGCTGTTACTGAGGAGAAGAAAAACGGCTACGGAAATAACAAACCCCATGCCAAGCAAGTTCTTAAGAGCCTTTTTAGCGCCTTGGGTTCCAGAAAATTCAGGTTTCTTCTGGGATTTCTCAGCTCTCCCTACTCTTCGAAGAACAAAACCAAACCATGCAAACGAAAATGCAATCAACGTCAAATTTTTCCATCTTCCCGCAGCTCTTGCTCCAAAGACTAGCCGCTCCCCTTCATTGGGGTTGTAACACGACCCAATCTTGATGATCTGCATCCTGCCCTTCTGGGGTCGAGTCGTGCTGCTCAAGCCACTGCATCCCCGCCCACGTGGAGATACAATGCCAGCAGTAATGGTGAACGTGCTGGTTCTTCTTGCGGCAGCACATATTTCTTGTTCTCTGGCAGATGGAACAACGGCAAGGGCATACTCCTGCCTGTCCAACCCGATCTCCTTGGGACGAAACCACGCCGCCCATGTTGTCGAAAATCGAAAGGGATCCTCTACCGAACAAGCGCTAGTCCAAGCAAAGCTTTCCGGCGATCGCAAGACCAATCCGCGATCTAAACTCTTCATGAAAAATCCACGGAAAAACAAACTCATGCAAAATCCAAGCCATGCCATGCACACACAAGACAACATGCTTCCAAACATGCCATGCTGCTTCCTTAAGGGATTTCGGGAGTTCATGCTTCCTACCTTCCTAAGGCTTTCGGCTTGAGGTCCAGAGGCTTTTGCTGGGGTCTCAAAGCTCTTGCTCTCTACCCTTGCACCCTCAACTGTCCTCATACCACGAAGCATAAACTCAAACGGAGTCCCTGATAAGAGATGCCGGGCAGACCGCTCCTCAAGAAGGTCTTTCTTTCCTCCCTTCAGGATCGGTCCTGCGGGTACCAATTTCCTGGATTCAGCAGGAAGCGCGTCTACATCCATGTGTGTGCCTATCGGCGGGCGCTTGGAGTTCTTGGATTTCTTTCCGCTGATCGCTCACCAGGCCCGCCTTTCCCCTATCAAACGGATGTTCTTCTTACCCCCTCGATAGAGGCGCGACCCAGTGCGCGCAAGGTGCGTTTTCCAACCCCTCTCTGACGCGGCCCATGGAGAAATTGCATTGAAAGGCACATCCGCCACCAACACCTCTTCGAGCGTCAACGGAACGTCCCCGAAACGAACCTCCAGATCGACAACGGACGAAACGTTGATTGTCCCGCCTGAGGCATTGTAGAGCGTCACATTCCGATCATGATACTTCGTGACTCGAAATCCAGAGATGTGGCTTGAAGAGACCATGTGACATGTTGCTCCACTGTCAACTAGCCAAACATCTCGGCCCTCTACGCACAGTGAAGAGCAAATGTACTCCACATCTCCCTTCGAACTAATGCTCGCCAAAGTGCCTAGGCTTTCAGACGCAGGTGGTCTCTGGCAGATGCCAGGAGGTGGCTCTACAGCCAAAGGCTTAAGGACTACGGGCTCCGACTTCTCAGGCCTCGCCGGGCTCAGTTCTCCTCGTCCAGAAAGTGGCTGAGAGAACCTCATGGCCATCACTGTGGCTCCATGACCAGAAGTAGAAGACTCCGCCTCGGACTCTGGCTCTCCTTCCAGGCTTCGCGCAGCGTTCTTCTTCTTCTTCTTCTGCTTGTCTTTGCCCTTTCCTTTTCCTTTCTTGTCCTTGCCGCCACCTTTGCCACCTTTGTCGCCTTTGTCGCCCTTAGCAGAGGGAGGCTTTCCGCCACGTGGGGTTCCAGGCTCACCTTTGCGGTCGCCTTTACCCCCCTTCTTCTCTCTGGCTTTGCCTTTGCCCTTATCGGGTTTAGCATCGCCACGCTCGTCCCTTTGCTTGGCCCAACACTTGTCCTTCTTGTGGCCTTTGCGACCGCAATAGTCACAAAGGATATCATCGTTCATGGAACGAGACGATGAAGTCGGGATGGGCTCACACATCCTCAACTGTTCCTCGAAGTACTTGAGGCTCTTTGTGAGCTCACCCCAAGACTGGGCATTTCCGGAAGGGCTACATACTGCCGTGCCTGGTGCGACACGGCCTGCAGCAGCAAGGAACAACAGTCGGCTTCTGAAAGCTTGAGCTCCGGAAAGTTGCTCAGCTTCACTTCTGCCTTGGCGATGCCATCCTCTAAGTGTCGGATGATGTCCATGGGCTTTTTGAGGTGGCCGCACTTAGCGTGGATCTTCATGCATGCCTCTCGCACATAGACCGCCTCCATCCGGGACACTATCGAGTAGTTCATGTGGATGGTGCGAACTGCCTCGTAGCCGGTCGCAGACATGTTCTGTCTCTTGCTGCAGCTTCGAAGCAATTCCAAACCACGTTCCCACTTGGCCAAACTTTGCGAAAGCAGGTAAAACAGCTTCGCTGACCGTGCTGCGGTGTCAGCTGGCAAACGGTCCTGTTGGATCTCGTCCTTAACACCTATGCAGAGTCGAAGCTCGTTCACGTAGGCCTCATCTTGCAGCGCCAACCATGAACTCAGCGTCTCCAAGAAACCATGCCAAGCCTCGATTTCTCGCATCCTGTCTCTTCCCATCTCTTGATGAGCTATGACAGGCAGCTGTGGCAGGTATTTGTCTGCACGGTTGGACGCCGTCCCACCGCTTCCAGCTGGCTTCGGCCCTGAACTGCTACTTGCCGATGCTGTCCCCGAAGTTGAAAACGGGTCACGGTTCGCGACTGGAACTGCTTCCTTCTTTGCTTCTTCCTCACGTTCACGCTCGGCCTTGAAACGCCTCTCGTCTTCCAAGTCCATTCTTCGCAGCATGGCAGAGAGCATTTGCTGTGTCTGCTTCGTCTGCTCTTGCTGCTGTTGCACCATACTCGCAAGCATCTCCAGCATGCGTTCTTGGACAGTCGGAGCAACAGGAGTTGCTGCTGGAGTTCCAAGACCCTGGAAAGGGTTAGCTCCAGCTGTCTGCTGGCCACCAGGCTGGCCAGTACCAAACAGCAACTCTTCCTCCTGCTGCGTTGTCTCGGGTGGCACAGGAATCTCAGCGGCTACGGAGCCTGCTGGACTCGCTAGAGGACTCTGCCCTGTAGGCTGAGACAGAGGCGCGGCCATGGCGTTCTACGAGCCCCGGACTAGTTCCGGCAGCTCCGCTACCATGTGAAAAAGCAGAGCACTCGCGCAGTTCTTTTCGCAAGTCGCACTTGAGCCAAACACCGTAGTGTTCAGCATGACTGTCCATGTCAGCAGAAAGCTCTCTCCAAGAGCTCAGGTCTCAAGGCTTACAAATTCCATCTCAACTTTGCTAAACAAAGGAGGAAAGCAAAAGAAACATGCAAAACCTTTGGGGATTGCTTAAGGACTTCAAGTCTGTCTCAAAACCAAAATGCCTCAGTCAGGTTCCCAACGCACACGTAACGGTACGAACGACGTGGGCATGCACACGGAGTGAGTAACTGCAAAGGTCTGTCCCTCAGAGCTTCACACGCACTGCTTCAAGGCTTTGCAAAGCAAGCTCAGTGCTACACTCATCACAGGGAACTGAACCAAACGTCACGCCATGCCAAAACAAGTTCTTGCCATGCCAAAACAAAGCTCTCGCTCAGACATGCAACTGTAAGACAGTTTCTGTACTGCCAACAACTAGGCACACCAAGGAAAGTGTAAACTTTTCACACTCTGCCCAATTCCAATTTTTGATACAACATGTTTTTTTGATCTTGAGGGTTCAAGTTTAGACAAGAAGCAACACCATTGTTCAAAACTCGGCCAGCATACCAGAAAACTGTCAAAAAACCGCTCTCACCCACTGCGATGTTTGACAGCACGGTTTTTTTGATCTCGAGGGCTCTGCTCTTTCATGGTTTCAGGATGACAAAGCACTATGCCAGCCTTATGTTCAAAGGGAGCATCTACCTGCGGTGCGGGCCCTCTTTTTGGTGGTGCCAACAGCTTGGCATTACCCAAGAGGACCATCACTTTCCAGCACTACTTGATCAGACACGCAATACACTGCATTGGGCAGAGGCTCCAGGGTTTGTCTCTGAGCCTGCAGTTCTGACACGGTGCCCCAGTAAGTTGGAGAGCAGAAGTGGGGCCATGCCCGCTGCACTCGCTTGCTAGATCGCGGTAAAAGATGGTCGTCCCCTCTGCATGGCTCAACAGGGCGGAGTCCGGTATTGCGTACTCGCTTCTCCATGACGTTACATTACTCACGTTCCAAATTGGGAAAGTTTATGAAAGGCTTCGAAGGATGCTAAGTGGGTTCTCTTTGAAGTTGGGTTCTTGGCAGAAGGTCGTCAGATCATGTGGCAGGCAGTCTTCTTCACATCTAGGTTGAAATTCCAGAAGTGCTAAAAGAAGTGGAGTGTGAAAATCTCTCTCTCTCTCTCTCTCTCTCTCGCTTCTCTTCTCTTCTCTTCTTCTCTTCTCTTCTCTCTTAGCATTGGACTGACGCCTCTTTACTACATCAGTAGCGCAGTAGGCCGGTCTTGTTGGGCTCGACTAGGTGTGAGACAAGGACAACTACTTTGAGAGCCAATCTGTACAAGCCAGCGAGTGAAAAAGAAGTCGTGACTACAAAGAAGCAACCGCTAGCGCAGAGGCCCTTATTGCAAGACAACTTAACGCAAGGCCAGCGAGGTGAGACCAACGCAAACAAGAACCTACCGGCACCAATCACTCAGCTGCCCGTCACCCATAGCCATGCTGCGCCACGTCTAGTACAGACATGAAGCGAAAGTATGGGTAGGCCGTAAGGCAAGGAACCTCCGTCACCTAAACTGCTCAACGCGTCCGAAGAGACAGTCCCCACACAAGCGCCAGGGCCGAAGCAATAGCACTCAGGACTCCCTTTGGGCTGGCAAGAAAATTTCAAGCACACTGAAAGAAAGGTACGAACGCGCACAAAGGCACAATGCAAACAGAGTGCAAGAAAAGGCGCCCCCTCCCCCCCCCGGCGAGCGGGGGCAGGCAAGGGGTCCTCACATAGCTAC